GGATCTGCATTAATATATGCGCCTGTGATTACTTTTAGATTTGTATTATTGAAAATTTCGCTATCAACATTAGAAAACTTACAGCTAATGAGTGTACTTTAGGTTTGTTTTTTTGGGGCATGAAATTTCAGCGTTATACGAAAACAAGCTATTGAAAGAAAAAGAATGTGGTATTCCAAACGAACTATACGCATTGCACTTAAGTTGAATGACGATATTCAAAATTCTATGTTTAGTGTAATTTGAATAGTAAACTTTTAATTGCATGGACTATCAATCCTGTAGTACATAATAACATATAACATTTTTCCCCGTCACCCAGTTGTCAAATGTCAGTATCAAGGGATATAACTTCTGTAGGTCGCTAGTTTAACATGCACATGTTCAGAAGACAGAACTGTTTTGTACATTATTCAAACCCAATTGGCTTGGCAACAGGATGAAAAGATCAATTGAAAAGCTGGTTTTTGCACCAATATTTTTAAATAAACATTTGACCTCTTATCTTTCTGGCCTTGTTATCTTTCTCGGATTTTAGATATGAGGTCAGAGAAGATATTTGAGGCATTTGTAACAGGAATGTAACAACTTTGTTTTTCAATATTAAGTATAAGTTAATGCTTAACAATTTCAAACACCACCTAATGTATTTTTAGTGTCATTTCTATATATAAAATCAATCGTATCAATCGTTTTTTATATTTTGAAGTAAAAAATAATTGCTATGAGTTTTCAAATTGTCTAATAAAGCCAAGCTTTTCCGCTTTAAAGATTTCTCTGTGCATCGGAAATAGAGGTTCTTTTTGTTGAAACATATGCTGAGTTCTTATGCTCTAAAGAACTACTGTATTTGTGTATGTCTCATGTTCTCTTGCTTATACAGCCAATTATTTGTTTCACTGTTCAAAACTCTCTGTCTTAAAAACCCATCTGTTTAACTAGTTTCTTGCACAATGACTTAATGCAGCCTGTTGGTGGTAATTCAAAAGTGTAGAAATAGCATAGTTCATAGTTCTCTACCAAATATGAAATATTCCCCACAATGTATTTCAAATACAACTATTAATATATTTAATCATATTCATCCTTAATCTCACATTCAACTCTTCCTCACTATGCCTTTCAAACAAGTCCAGAAATACTTTGTCTTGTATTTGCTGTGCATACTGCCACTTTAAATTACCTCTCTTTAAACGTCATCGATGTCTGCATTACACTTTAGTGCAAATTGCTAGAGACGATGTGGATCGTACAAAGTCCTAATGCTACGTTGATAACAGTACAGTTCATGTGTGCATCAGTGATACACCTAGTACAAAAATAAACAAAGTGTAGCTTTAATAACTATGGATAAATTTAACTTTACGTCCATAGGAAAACACTAAGACCGACTGAAAAATTGACTTATACTTACCAGGGCCTGATAGCATGGAAAGCCAGTTACAGTTGATTAAATTTACTTGTGAAGTTCCAGTATTCCAATCTTTAACAAATTCAAATATCTAGAGATAAATTGGTTAAATTATAGACGTAAACCCATTTCAACTATCGAGAGTTTTGTACAATCTGTGTCTGTACACTCTTGGGGTAGTATTTATTTTCACTGCCATTATATATGTTTCGTCTGTCATTCTAATGTACCCTAGTATCTTAGATTGTCACTTATGGTTAAACGTTCTGCAGTGTTCAACTAACATACTATTTACATTATGTGTTCACCATAATTTAGCGCAAACCATAGGTGACAGCTCGCATATAGTGTAACTATCCTTGCATTATACCTGAACTGGCATGAAATATTCTCATGATTCACAGAGGCTCCAATGTACCTATCAAGCTCCTCCATTATATCCACTTACTTCTATAGCTATCTACAGGGGGTCCACATCCGAAGAAACTCCCATTGGGACACCTATCCATTATACTTGAGAAAGTGTGCAACGTTTGGTTCTTCTAGTTGATCTGAACTCAGTTCTAAACATGGCGTGCCCAAGATACCGAGGGGGTGGGCAAGAACACAGAGTCAGGTGCAAAATTCGGGTCCCAATTATCTTTAGTGAACTTCCGAGCATGTTTTAGCCCCTTTGACACTTGTCCCAAGAAGTGTCCGTATCCAAATTAAAACCCGTTAAGACACATGCCCATGATATATGAGTAAGTATGCCAAGCTTATGACTGGAAGTATAAACACCGTTTCAAACTTAGCACCCCTGAGATCCGGAGAGGGGCGGCCAGGAACACAAAATCCGATGCCAGAGTTGGGTTCAGCGACCCTGAACAACTACTCTAAGACTCTCATCATGCCTGGATGAACTTCTGTGCCCGTTTAAGTCCAACTTAGTATATCCTGAATAAATAAGGATAGGGGGATACACTATATAAATAACGACACCCAAATCCGCCTGCAAAGTTTGGTTCTGCTAGCTTTAAAATTGTGAGAGGGGGAGTTCGCGAAATGTACAAACGTACAATGAGAAGTAATATAGGATGTTTATACACTCAATAATCTCACATCTACTTTTTGTATGTATCCATAAGCTTTAAAAGTGTATTTCACAGCTATAAAAGTGATTCTGTAGGACGTGCCCTTAGGCTTAGATATGAAAAAAGTTGATGTTTTCGGTTTATTTACCTTAATAGGAATTTTTCCTTCCAAATATTTCAGTCCTATAGTGATCTACTCATAGCATTATTTCGAAGGTTGATCATAAATTAACTTTGGGTTTGGTTTCGTTTAATTTTAAGATTGCAAACCGTTTTGATTTTTATCTATAACATGCCGCCATATATGACTGTCTTTAGTTCCTAACAAAAAACTTCATTTCATAATGAACGTATCTAATTCTGTAAAAATTCTGCGAACTTCTCAAAAAGATAAGATAAACATTTCACTAAATTTTTTTACATATTTCTGCTTCATAAATACCAAAATAGTCTATTTGTGCAGAAAGGATATCCAATGGTGGATTAGTTAAACAAAATAGAAAACCTCCATTTTACAGTTGAAGAAGTTAGGAGTATTAATAAGATGTTTATTTGTTAAGCTTAAGTCCCGGTTGGGGAATGATTAAGCTTCACAGAAAACTTACCGCATACTGACAACATTTGTGTTTGATTATGAAACACAGCACCTGTCGCAATACTTGCTAAAACCTAAAGCTAAACCTAAAATGCATTCAAGATATCTCTACATATAGAAATATGTTAATGTCAGCACATTTATAGACGGTACCTTACCAAACTAGCTTTAATGAAACAGATATTTTGTGCTTGGTACAAGTATACATAATATAGATTTTAAAGCACCTTCCATTGCCATTGTCAACTTTACAGGCCCTAATCCTCTTCTTAGGATATTTATAATCACAATAAAAAAATGTTTTATTTATTTTTCATAATTTCAACGTTCGTAATATTGGCCAATAACGTAAGTACAACTGATATTACAATTATATTTGATAATGCTATTAACAACCGGAGTAACGAAAAGCAGTATAAGAAGACAAATATATTGTATTTGAATGGGGTGAAAGTTTAAAATCAAATGAGGTTTAACACCAAACACCAGAGTGGCTTCTTTCTTATCTAAAGTATTTATTAATGACGGAGATTTCTGGTAAAATATTGATTACATTCTCTAATTGTCCATGAAGAAAGCAACCAACGTTCCTTTGCTTCAAACTAATCTAAAGTAATAAAATTGTCATATTTGTAAAGTAATAAGAAACACAATTATTTTACAATAAAATCGATTCTCATAAAATTTGCCCTTGCCGTTTGTTAAAAAAACACATCGCTGATTGTACTTAAGGAAAATTTAGTCTTGCTCAAAGAGATAACCCACCTGGTGATGTCACTATGCGTATTTTTAAAACAGGTAACGTAATGCATACCACCATTAAATGTATTTTTTCAAGAACAACAGTTAACTTTATAAAACACCTAACCTAACACATACTGTCATTACACGCATCTATGAAAAACAACACCTATCCTAACACGTACTGACATTACATGTATTTGTCGAAAATAACAGCTAACCTAACACATACTACCATTACGCGCATTTCTGAAGAACAACAGTTAACCTAACATAACACCAAACCTAACACACACTGCCGTCACATACATTTGTCAAAAAAGACGGTTAACTTTACATAAGTGGAAATCTAGACTTCTCCATAAACATATATTACCTTATATAACAATTAACCATTTACATTATTTTGTTATATGCTTTTTTTAAGGATAAATAGTTTTTACATAACGGTTGGCCAATCGTATGGTTTTAGTATGTGTTCTCAAAATTTAGGGCTAACCTTACATAAAAAATGAAACTATTCCATCATGCTACTGTATTTAATAACAGTAAATCTTATACTGATTTATTTATCCGTCTTAATATACTATTCTAAAAAAGAACAGTTAAGCTTAGCTAATACTGCTATAAAAATCAGCCCAAGCTTTATCAGTTCTCCCAAATGTGATTCAATTTTGTTCTTGTTGAATAATTTTGATCAGATCAAAACTGCATTTTCGAGTTCTCATCAGCCCAGCTTGATCGAGAATTGAATATATTATCTCAGTGAGCTTTGTGTGAATAGATTTGGGAACACATAGAGCGGACTGTATATTATACATTGCACTCTTTTATCTGAAAGAGAAGATAAAATACCTAGTTTCTGGTATTATATATGTAAATCAATCCAAATGTGATGTGTGTGAGGCAAATCGAAAACTACTCACTGATTTTTAATACTTCAATGTGTTCGTATAAAGAAACAGTTTATCTTATATAACAGTTAACCTTATCATATATTTTCAGTGTTTACTTTTAAAACCAACGGTTAACCTCATGCAACATATAAGCTAATACTCGTTATCTTTACACTTAGTAAGAAATAATTGAACATTATATTACAATATTAATTTATCTTGTGATAAATTCATTTTTTTATTATTTTTATAAAGATTAGTCGTACTGTTTCCCAGTAATTCGTGAACTTTACTTAACAGCCAAACTTTAACATTCTAAGCTTCTTTTGTCCTTCTGAGTAACTCTGGTTAAGGGTAGAGAAAATACCAAATGGATAACTTGGTTCAAAGAAAATTGTGGTATCCTCTACAGTTGACAAAAACAGAATCATTTCATAGAGAACTTTCTCGTTGACCATGCTGTCCATATTTTCTAATTTTCAGAAGTTTGGTTTTCTTGTGTTTCTCTGCTTTTGTGTTGAAGCTGATGTCCTTTGATGATATTCGTGGAGAATCATAGCCAGACGATAAGGTTCTATTACCACAACTAACGTGAACCAATTCCAGACTTGAATGGCCCAGTTTCTTGCAATCATCATATAAGAACGTATGCATTATGCTGGGCGTGTGGGGCGTTGGGTGTAGGGACATACTCTCACAGTAATTATCCTGACGAGATATGCATGGTGAAGGATTTGTGCTTTGAATGACATCTCGTCTTTCAACTGCACATGTTAGTACAACAACAACAAAAACAAGTTTATTAGCTAATCCTAGACAGGAAAACAACACATTTCGATTATTAAAAAAAAATGATGTTGGGATAGAAAAGAATAACTAGCTTTTTATTCTGTAATCATCAAAACACAAGGGACAGACAGAATTTAATCAATAATCGTAAAAATGAATAAGCATAATTTAAAGAAAATGTCAGATAAAATATTGAAAAGCAGAAATTCAATTATGAAAAACACTATAGAAACTTTTAACTAAAAAGTAAAACCAAAGTTTTATAAATCGTTAAACAAATATAGACAAAAACTGTACAGAAATTCAGAGTTCAATATTTACTGCACTAAATTGAAAATATGATGAATGTTGCTTCTTAACTTTGTATGCCATATGAAGAACATTGCTCCATAACTTTGTATGCCGGTATGAAAAACGTTGCTTCATAATTTTTGTATGCCATATGAAGAACATTGCTCCATAACTTTGTATGCCATATGAAGAACATTGCTCCATAACTTTGTATGCCGGTATGAAGAACGTTGCTTCATAATTTTGTATGCCATATGAAGAACATTGCACCATAACTTTGTATGCCGGTATGAAGAACGTTGCTTCATAATTTTTGTATGTCAAAAATTATAAATATAGTTGTCGCAATCACGAATATATGAAAAAATGATGAAGAAATTAAGAATATAATATGAATATGATAAATGTACAAATTATGAAGAAATGTTGTAATATCATAATACTTTACGACCTCAAACATTGTTTCTTGGGCTAAGAATAATTCCGAATGTTAAAAACCTGCTTACCAGCAGAGGAGTGAAGAGACTGCACAGAGCTTCGACCACGGCTAAGATAACTTAGGGACTGAGTGAGGATGGACTGTTGAGAACGAAGATAAAATGTCTTTGTGATCGACCAGTGCAGCCACAGTTTATGAAGTTCTTGCTGTACCTATAAACCGAATAATCAGAACAATTTACAAATATTATTAGAATAAAGAATTTTTAAAATTTACATTTTTCCGTTTTCTCTCAATATATAAACTCACAATCACTTTTGATGTTATAAAAAGAGGCTTGAGAAACAACTTTTTACTTTCTTTATGTTAATCGACTAAGTGTACAAAATACCTTATACGTAGATCAACATCATTAATTATACATGATCCATCTTCTATCTGAATTACAATACTTGTTCGCAAGGGCAAAAAAGAATCGTAAATTTACTGAAGTCCACTAAAATTGAACTATATGCAAGTGCTTTCGAAAGAAAGTTTTTAAAGTAATATTATTAGCATAAATTTATGTTTGTTTATAACAAGGAAGATAAGTGAGATTAGTAAACACGAGATAATGTTGCAACGTCACGACTACTACAATTTGTTTTCAGAAGAAACGTATATATATACTGCCCAGAGCAATGTAGTAGGAGTATATTTTTTTTCAATAAGATTAGATTGGTTGGAGCTTTAACTATTGCTGTTTTCTCTGAATGGTGTTTCTTCAGCTTCTGCGTCTAAAGACTAAGGTGGAATGTTTTAAAATTGCCATTAGGTTTATGAGGTAAATCTGCTTTGCCGGAGGACATTACATAGATCTTATTGGTGCGTAGCAACTTGCTACTCATCATTAGGAATTCGAGGAATTTAGAGTAATTCAAAGCGACTTTCGACTAAATCATTTTCTTTCGTTTTTCTTTATTTGAAAGATGAATCAGGAACTATTCTTTATTTCTTAACATACACGTTTTTTTCGGCATGTATGGAAGCTTTCTGCGACCTCATATAATGGCTTTTCAAATATACAGATTGATTCTTCTATAAAATACAATTCGTATACAGCGGTATGTCTGCGGACTTACAATGTAAGAAATCGGGTTTCTATACCCGTAGTGGGAAGAGCACAGATAGACCAAAAATGGCCCATAAAAAGTTTCATGTTGTCAAATACTAAACCAACATACCAAACAGATTAATTCATTAAAATTTTGTCATTAAAATTTCAAACCCTTTGACTGTCTCGACACAAACCAAGCAGATTAATTAAAGTTTTGTCATTAAAATTTAAAACCCTTTGGCTGTTTCAATAGATACCAAGCAGATTAATTCATTAAAGGTTTTATCTTTAAAATTTTAAATTTGTTCCATCTTTTAACAGTCCAAAAGCAAAATAATTGTTTTTTTATTTTAAATAACGTCCATCTTAATTTATTGTTGATCGAAACCTTTGGATATTTTACATATAAGGGCAATATGTTTAGCCAGTAAGTCTACACCAAAACGTTACTCATTTCACTGAGGAATGTGTTTGTAGATTTAGAGAAAATGAAATTAAAAAAATATCGTACCAATTTATCTCTGTATAAGCAGTCGAAGAAATTAAAAAAATCTTCAAAAATACTTGAATTGGGCATGGATTTGAATTGGTATTGAATATTATTAAACTAGGAGTTGATACAATAGAAAACTTATCATTGTTTAGATAAATGTTCCACTTTAAAATTGACTATTTTAAATCATGGGTAATTAGTTTAATCAAAGCGAAGATAAATATTTATGTACATAATAAACTTAAGAAAGAGCTTTTTTACTTCTATATTAATTCATAAAGCCTATCGAGAACTGGAATACACGTATCAGAGCTGAATTAAGATTGTTTCTGAAATTATCCTAATAAGCTGCACGCCAGAAGACAACAAGATGAATACATTTTAACACTGCGTAACAATAATTGGCACATCTGATATCTAGAAAGATAGAAAATATAGAATATGTAACAGAAAACTAAATGTAAATGATTGTTTTTTTTTCAATTTCGCGCAAAGCTACACGAGGACTATCTGTGCTAGCCGTCCCTAATTTAACAGTGTAAGACTAGAGGGAAGGCAGCTAGTCATCACCACCCACCGCCAACTCTTGGGCTACTCTTTTTACCAACGAATAGTGGGATTGACAGTCACATTATAACGC